CAGCGTTTCATACACCAAGTACTGTCTGGCCTCGATTTCTGCATCCCATATTTTGATGATATCCTGGTTGCATCTACAGATGCGGAAGAACATTTTCAACATCTGCGTCAGATTTTCACTCGCCTTAAAGATCATGGATTAAAACTAAATCCATCCAAATGTGTACTTGGTCAACCCTCAGTTTCCTTTCTTGGATGTCTTATCACCCAGAATGGAGTCAAACCTTTACCGGAAAGAGTCAAAGCAATTAACGACCTACCTCAGCCCAAAACCATCTCTGAACTGAAGCGTTTTCTAGCAATGTTAAATTTCTACCGACGCTTTCTGCCAAATGCCGCAAAAACACAAGCCTGCCTACATGAGTTTCTGAAGAATAGCAAAAAAAAAAAAAAAAAAAACGATCAACGAGCTGTCCCTTGGACTGAATCTGCATCTGCAGCATTCGTGCAATGCAAACACGATCTGGCAAATGCAGCCACACTTTCTTATCACTCACCTAGTGATCAGCTCTCTATAATGGTAGATGCATCTGACACGGCCATAGGAGCAGTGCTTCAAGCCCATACCACTAAAGGACTTTCCCCAATGGCATTCTTTTCCAGAAAGAAAACTTACTACTGCAGAAAGGAAATACAGCACATATGACAGAGAGCTACTTGCTGTGTACTGTGCTGTTAAATACTTCCGGCACAACTTGGAAGGACACGACTTCATCATTTTCACCGATCATCGACCATTAACCTTCGCTTTTAGAAAAAACTCTGACTCATGTTCTCCTCGTCAGCTTCGACATCTGGATTTCATCGCCCAGTTTAGTACAGATATCAGATATGTCTCTGGTACTGATAATTGTGTCGCTGATGCCTTGTCTCGGGTAAACAATATCAACCTCACTACCCCAGATTTCTCTGAAATTGCAAAAGCTCAATTGCATGATGAGGAACTCAAGAACCTAATCTCAAATCCACAAACCTCCCTTCAGTTACAACCGCTGCACATTGATCCAACGCTTAAAATTTACTGTGACATAGAGAACAATAGAATACGTCCCTATATTCCTGTCAATTTTAGACGTGAAGTGTTTAATGCCTTGCACAATTTGGCACATCCTGGAATCCGTGCCACCAAAAAGCTGATCGCAGACAGATTTGTCTGGCCAGCAATGAATCAAGACATCACAGAATGGACTCGTTCATGTATTAGATGTCAACGGTGTAAAGTATCCCGTCACACTCACAGCCCATTCAACAATTTAACCTTCCAGCAAGACGCTTTGATCATGTGCACTTAGACTTGGTTGGCCCATTGCCTCCTTCAAATGGTTACACTTACCTCCTCACTTGTATTGATCGGTACACAAGATGGCCTGAAGCCATTCCTATTGAAAATATATCCGCTGAAACTGTAGCTCGAGCATTCATCTCCCAGTGGCTTTCAAGATTTGGCATGCCTACCACCATCACTACTGACCAAGGCCGACAATTTCAATGTCACTTGTTCGCATCCCTCACCTCTCTTCTTGGCATTCGCCATATTCGCACAACACCATACCATCCATCTGGAAATGGGATGGTGGAACGCTTTCACCGATCTCTCAAACAAGGTCTGAAGTGCCACAGTAGCACACACTGGACAGAAGCCTTACCCCTAGTCTTGCTTGGTCTTCGCACAGCATTCAAAGAAGACATTGGTAGCACTTGTGCTGAAATGTTATATGGTGCAACCCTCCGTCTGCCAGGTGAATTCTTTCACCCAGAATCTACTCCAGTTATCGACCCTCCAACATTCCTTCAACGTTTACGTGAGACCATGAGCAATATCTCGCCAACCCCAGCATCTTCGCATAACCAGCCAAGCTATTTTGTACATCCTGCGCTTGAGACATCTTCGCACGTATTCGTGCGCAACGATGCAATTAAGCCAACTTTAACACCTTCATATGATGGTCCATTCAAAGTTGTCAAACGAACACCGAAACATTTCACCATCATCTGCAATGGCAAACAATCAGTGATTGGAATCGATCGTCTCAAACCAGCATTTCTAATGCAAGATCCAACAACTTCCTCATCAACATCACTCCCGGAAGAAAGCTTACATCCCGTTAAAGAGCAACCTAAAACTACCAGATCTGGAAGAAAGGTTAAATTTAACCCAAAGTACTTATAACGTACCGATGGTACTTGGGGGGGAGTACTGTGGCGTTCCGACAGATACTTCAACTTCTATTCATGAGATGGCGCCACGTGTAAAATCCAGTTCTTAATCGGAGCAGCAAAGCGACATCTTTACTCACTCAGACTTCTCGAAAAACAACTGTACGTGACGTTAGCATGAACTGTGTTCTGAGCTCTGTGTTGATCTCTGCAACGTAATTTAAATTGTAATTTAGTACTTAATATATTTTTTGTTATAGGAGATTGTCTACTCTTATTTTCTTTAATTATATCATGCATTAAGCACACGACCACCAAAAACTGATAATATGACCTTCGAACTTCAACACCGGCTTCGAGCTTTGGCGACAGATATTTCGCGCATGCGCAGCTGTTTCCCTCTACGTTCGAACAGAGCCACTCCTGTTGCAGAGAAGTTTCCCTTCTTAACAATACATATTCTTTGAATCTAACTTCCATAGTACCGCATACTAGGATTAAACCGATTTTGATTTATACGAGAATAAGTATTTTGCTTATTCAACATGCATTGCACAAGCGCATGCCATTCTCGAGGATACTGGAAACTCGCTTTGCGTTTGGAACTATCTATCTAATTGGAACTGTGAAAATTGGCTCTATGCCAGCTGCCTAAATGACGCACACACAATACATTAATTCACCAAGAAAGTGATCGCTTTCAATGTCGGTGCAAAACTCGCTTTTTTGGGGGGGGATTGCCATATAAAATTCCCCGACTTTTCCAGATTTTGAGTCAAATATTTAAATTCTCTGACTTTTCTCTGAATTTTTTGGTTAATTTTTGAATTCCCCTGACCTGGTTTTCCAGGCAGCGTGGCAACCTTGTATGTAGAATACATCAACATGTGAGATAGAAATGATAAAAAAAAAAAAAAAAAAAAACTTTTATTAAATGGGCACTCGGAGCTACAAAGACGAAAACTACAACGAATGAAATTCTAGGTAATTCATACCAGTATTTTCAACATTATGAAAAGAGATTTTTCTAAGAATAGCTGATTGAAATTATTAATGTGTGTGTGCATATACCGGGTGGCCATAATTAAACTGACAGTGCTCACAGTGTTCTGTAACGCGATCTATTTGCGAGAATGACGCCACATTTTGTAGGAAGTTTAAACAAATGGGGGACGAAGGATTTCGCGAGAAAACAAATTAGTTCCAAAAGTCACCGCTAGGGGAATATTTGGCCCTGTGTAATAGAAAATAGAGTGTTAACAAATGCAAATTAATACGGAATAAAATTACCTTTTTATTATGCCCATTTCTGATTTAGTTCAAGTGCAATATGGCAACACTTTTAAAAAAGCGTAAAATCTACATAAACACCAATAAAGTCTCGTAATCTGCAATATCACGTACGCTGAGCAGCAGAAGAAGTTCTTTATTCAAATTTCACGTTACATCCATTCACACAGTGCCAGCTGCTTGGGTTTTAAAAGGTAATGTGTTACGTTTCGAATCAATCGAATCGAAAGTTTATGTGCAATGTCTCCTTTTTTAGTCGAGCATGCGTTACTGGTCAAATTCTTTTACCGCAACCAGTGCAACGTGTCAGCTGCTCTTCGTGCTTTTAGAACACACAAAAAAATGCATGAAGGTTAATGGTTCTGTGTCAGTTAATGGGTCTAAAAGAAATAGTTGCGACGTTTGAGAAAACAGGTTCTCTGAAGGTTCAGTCAGGCAGAGGACGAAAATCTGTACCACAGGATACAATCGAAGTAGTTGCCATGGCGATTGTCGACAGAGAACCAGACAATATTGCTGCCACCTCTAGCACTCGTGGAGTAGCTCGGATTATGGGTATGCCTTACAGTACAGTATGGAAAATCTTACAAAAGATAATCAACTTCTATCCGTTCAAGATCAGCCATGTACAGGAGTTACTGTACCCCGATCATGATAAGCGATTGACTTTTGCTCTCACCTTTCTAGCCAGAATGGAGGTGGATGATGCTTGGCCGTGGAAAATCTTATGGGGAGACGAGGCCCACTTTTACCTGAATGGAATTGTGAATACCCAGAACTGCCGAATTTGGGATGACAAACCACCACATGCAGTCATAGCAATTCCCTTACATTCACCAAAGGTAACTGTTTGGTGTGGGTTCACAGTGAAATTTATCGTTGGTCCATTCTTCTATGAGAACATTACCCCGATAGGACCGGAAACCTGTTCTGTTACCGGAGAGAAATATCACCACATGTTGAACAGCTTTGTCATACTGGCACTTCAGCAAAGACAATGGCTGGGGGAAATCATTTTCATGCAAGATGGAACCCCTCCACACGTTGCTGTACGGGTGCAACAGATGCTATGACATAAATTCACAACAGAAAGATTCATTAGTCGCTACTTTCCAACTGCATGGCCTTTCGGTCGCCTGATCTTACCCCATGCGACTTCTGGCTATGGGGTTACCTTAAGTCCAAGGTCTATCAAGGAATGGTCCAGGACATGGCTACATTGAAGAATAACATATCACGGACTGTATGGGAAATTCCTGCAGATATGTGACTTTCTGCTGTTGTGTATACTGTGCACAGAATGCAATATGTGGTCCACAACAACAGCAGCCACATTGAACCTCATTTGAATGCAAAATAAAAGGTAATTTCCATATTGATTTGCATTTCTTAACACTCTATTTTCTATTACACAGTGCCAAATATTCCCCTAGCGGTGACTTTTGGAACTAATTTGTTTTTTCGCAGAATCCTTCGTCCCCTGCCTTGTTTAATCTTCCTACAAAACGTGCGTCATTCTCGCAAATAGATCGCGCTACAGAACACTGTGAGCACTGGCAGTTTAATTATGGCCACCCGGTATATATTTATTTCCAATGGCAGAATAGAAGACAACTTTAGTCAGAAATACAAACAAAGTGACAAGTAATAAAACTACAGTAAATCTATAAATTATCCATCTTGAGCCGAACTCTCCAGTATTTCTCCCACAAGTATACCGAGCCCAGTGCAGAACAGTTTGACTTGAATGGTTCCCATCCATTTCCTCACGAATGTTGCACAATCGGCAAAGAGGACTTGGTAGTATTTCTATATGATATAGATGCTTGGAGAAGCAAGCATGGCTGGTAGCAAGGCGAAAAAAGGCAACAGATCTGTTCTTTATCCGTAGTGGAATATTTGTGACTTTCTCAATCCATTTCTTGTCTTTGTTTCCTCTTTCATGTTTTCCCAATATTTCTCTGTAAAAGACTTTTTTAACTAACTGTTTGGCGGTATAAAAAGCAATTGATTGATCTGTTACTTGAGCAATTTTGGTTGCCTTCCTTGCCAGGGAGTCAGCTATTTCATTACCCTGGAGTCCACAGTGTACAGGTACCCACTGCAAAGCAACCACTTTGTGGTTTTCCATTAAATCATTAAGGGTCAGACAAATAGTAAAAAAATCAGCTTAAATTGGAACTTCAGAAGAAGCAATAGTAAGGAGAGCAGCCCTAAAATCTGATAGTATAACAGCCCTTGAAAAATTTTCAGATTGGCATTGGAGCTGTAACAAAGCGATTTGAATTGCAGAGATCTCCGTGTCAAAGGCTGTTTTAAACCTTCCAACAGGAGTGTAAAATGAGAAGAGACTGCAGAAGACACCAGCACCAGCATTGATACGGACATTCAACATGGAGCCGTCTGCAAATACATGCAGCCACTCATTATATATATATATATATATATATATATATAACACACCATATATAAGAAGTTCTTGAAATGTTTTGTGTTATGATTATTTTTAAATTTCAAATTTTTTTCCCCTCAGTAGGATTTTAATTTTTTCTACATTTTAAGGGGAAGTTTTTTTATACTACTTATTAAAGATTCTTTTTAGATTAATAATCTTTTTAATTTAGAAGATATTTTTAATGGTTTTATTTTACATTTTCACCACTTTCCTTTGCTTTCATTGGTGCTTAATAAAAGATTTTCGCAAAGTTTTGTGTTAAGATTATTTTGAAATTTCAAAAATGTTTCCACTGTAGGATTTTAATTTTTCCTACATTTTAAAGACAGGTTTTCACTTTTTTTAAAGATTCTTTTTAAATTACAGAAATCTTTTAAATTGGAAGATATTTTTAATTATTTTTGTTTGTAATTTTTGCCTTTTTCCTTCACTTTGAGGAGGACCAGAATTCTCAGGTGAACTATTAAAATTAAAAAATATATTGAAATAGTTCATCAGCTAATTCAGGATACAGAAAAGCATGGATTTTGTTTTGGAAGGGAAACTGTAATCAAGTTTGACATACCTCCTTGTGATGATGTTATGTTGAAGTTGATTGGATTCCTCTCCTTTTTTGTTCTTATATATACACACCAAAGAGCCATTACATTATTACCACCCTTCATCTATAACAATGGGCTCGCTCAGGAACAAAAACCACTGCACGGGCGCGGCTGATGTTGAAGTAACAAAGCAGCTATGCATTGTCTTTCCAAACATAGCGTGATTGGGAAAGCAGGTGATTCATGAGACTTCGATAAAGGTCAAATCGTTATGGCTCGGCGATTGGGAACCTCAATATCAGAAACAGCGTGTTTAGTGAGCTGTTCACAAGCAGTTGTTGTGAGCACATATCGAAAGTGGTGTATGGATGGTGAAATGACCAGTCAACCGGCGCATGATTCCAGAGGAGAGCAGAGATTGCTATGCATTGTTCGCCATGGCCAAAGAGCTACAACAGCCGAAATCACCACCAGCTACAACAGTTGTGACCCAGGCAATGTTTCTCAATGCACTGTGCAGTATACATTGCTGCACATGGGCCTACGGAGCCGGAGGCCGAAGCATGTCCCTGCACTGACGGCACGCATCACCAGCTACATCTGCCAATAGGTCAAGAAACATTGGAATTGGGCATTAGAAGAATGGGAGAAAGTTGAATGGTCCGACAAATCATATTTTCTGGTCCATCACATCGACGGGCATAATCTACTGATGGGTTTCGGTAGATTTTAAAACGAAACCCTGGCTCCCAGATGCAAAGTTGGACGGAGACAAGCCAGTGGTGGAGGTATTATAGTGTGGTCAATGTTTTCATGGAGCACATTAGCACGCATAATCCCCATACAACAGTTCCTAACATCTGTACACTACGTGAACATCAAAGCAGAACAGGTTCACCCACTCATGACAACAGTATTTTCGGCAGGGGATGGTCCTTAATAATAAGATAACGCACCATGTCATAATAGTCAAATTATCAGGGAGTGGTTCGAGGAACATTCCAGTGACTTTCAAGTCATGTCTTTGCCTACAAATTCACCTGATATTAACCCAATAGAGCATTTGTGGTCCCACCTGGATAACCAAATTCATGCTGCCATGCTAACCCACTTGTAATGTGCGGAAATTGCAGGACCAGTTGGTGACTGCTTTGTACGAGATACCTCAGACTACCTACTAGCACCTTATGGAGTCAATGCAATGCCGGGTGCTGGCAATTTTGAGGGTTAAAGGTGATCCTACATGTTGTTAAACAGGGTAGTCATAATGCAATGGCTCTTCGGTAGACATACATTTTTTGGTTTTCCTTGTGATAGTTTATTCTTTTTTTACATTTTAAGAGATTCTTATTCTATATTCATAGGATTTTATGAAGTTCTTTTGAAGTTTAATTTTTAGTCTTTGTGAAAAATTGTTTCTAAATTTCCTTCTTTATATATTTAATGATCAATTTTCAGCACCATAATGCACGAAAATTCTTGGAAGAATTATAAATTTTCTCTTTAAAAAAATATTTGTATATTTATATGACTTGCGTGTGCATACATATTTATAATAATTTATCTGAAATGAACACAAAAATACATAAATAGCTCAAAAATTAATCAAGCTGAGAAAAATGTGCTGTTGAAATCTCACTACATTGGTCTTATTTTAAAAAAATGTTACCTATATATGTATACCCAATTTAGTAGTTTTTATCCACTGACACGTGTAGAACATTATCATACAAGATAAGCAATAGAACAAATTATTTTGAATAATTAAAAATATACAAATATTATAAGTTGAAAAATAATAATAATGTGTTACTTACATTACAAACCATGAAGATGTAAATTACGACTCAAGACAGACCTGGCATCACTAGTAAACCTCAATGCATCAAGCATTGGCAAAAGATTTAAAAGAGCTGTATCACTAGCATCACAAAACCATGACTTGATTGGAATAGCATTATCTATAGTTAGAAGATAAAAAAAAAAAAAAAAAAAAAAAAAAAAAAAAAATTATATTTGGCTTGGAAAACACGTCACATTAAATAATTGTAATGGAAAGAAATTAATTTTAATTTAATTAAATTACTATAATTTACTGCTATGCTAATATTAAGTTTTACCTACTTACTTGAAAAATTAAATGTGAAATGCAAACAAATGAAAAATTTATTTACATTGAATGATTGATCACATTGAATATTATATGAATGTGATGTTAGATAATTTATTGGGTTCTTAGCATGTTCATTTAATTATCTTCTTTTACTTTTGCAACCATTTGCCATTTTATATTTTTTCTTATGCAATTTTTGATACCTCACTTCTTACATTGATCTTATTTATATCAGTGATTTACTTATTTATATGTACACCTCATATATATAACTAAATTATTTAAAGTGGAAGATAATCTGATCCAGTTTAGTCCCAATCCTAAATGTCTGCATGAAAGATTGAAGATTCCAATAAAAGTTCCAACATCGATGATTAGCACAAGTGCTAAATTAGGCACACAATAATTGTGTCAGGCAATCACTATCTTGTGTTGTGGTTCTTTGCGATCATGCTACATTGTTCAAACACAACTACCTCCGTGTTGTTTTGTTTGTATATCTCCCCCCCCCAAAAAAAAGATAAGTAAAATATTATAAAATTATAAGCCTTCTGCTACAGTTGCTGATTATTTTTATGCTTTTCCAAGTGCCGTTCTCGCTACAAAAATGCATTTTTCTTAATTTTTATGTATTCTTTCCAAGGCAGTTCATATTTAGAATTGATTTTTTTAATCTAAATAGCGAATGTAGATGGCAATTTCCTAGAAATCAGAGTACTGTATCCTCCATTTATTAAGTTTACTAAAGGCTGTTTTAAAAGGATTCAAATTATGGCATTTGAAAAATAAAAATAGTATTTCACACCAAAAGTATCCTCAAAATCAGTTATTTAGATCCTTAATAATATGAATACAGGCTGTCTTTGGATCCAAAAGTAATAATATTAGTTTGACATTATTACAATTGTAATTAGTTTAATTTAAAGTAATAATTTAATATTACTTTAAAACAACGAGTTAAAATTGGGAATAAAAATCTCATTTTTGTGTGTCAATTATAGTGTTCTAATGGCACAAATGGCTCCTGTCTTGCATTTGATTTGTGATGGTACAGAGAAGTCTTGTATCAGCTGAAGGATAATTTTTCAGTTGAATTCTGTTAACATATTTGTATGGGTTATTTATCACAAACACATGTATTGGGGTTGAAAGGGTCGCTGTCTAATTGTGTAGCTGTATATGGAAAAGTTTCTCTTTTTTTTTTTTTTTTTTTTTTTTTTTTTTATTGTAGTCATTCATTCACCAGTGATTTTCATTTATCTCTGAAAGCTAATAACATATTTGTATCGGTTGTTTATTACGAAAATGTGCACCGGGAAGGGCTGAGGCCTTGCCTAATTTTGCATCTTTTTGTGAGAAAAGTTTCTTATTTTTGTGTTCAGTCACAGCCGTTTCAATTCATTTGGATCTTCATTCGAGTAGTTTTTCAAAAAAGTTTTGTTAGATTTTATTACAGTAAATTAGTTTAGGACTCATAAAATAAATTATGCGTATATAGATAGATAATTTTTTATATTGACTTCGAAAATGCCACATGAAGGACTTAACATATCCGAGGCTTTGGCTCCTCTTTTCGAACGGATTCCCTCTGATTTAAAATCTATGATGTCCAATGTCAAAAACAATGAAGAAGACAGTATTCTTTCTCATGCTGGTGCAGTGGGGCAAGATTGTTCCTCACTTTTCTGAAGAGCGTGGTTCAATAGAAGAAATTACTGACATGGAAAATCCTTTACTCATCAATACATATTTTGAAATATTTACTATGACATTTACTGAAAAAACAGCTTTCCAAATGAATTTATATATGACAAAGAAAGGAAAACATTTCCATCTCATAACTATGCATGATATGTTTGTTTTTCTTGGATTAAAACTTTTGATGAGAATAAAGGGGCGGGGACCGGCCAAGTTATAGAAATATTTGGCAATGAGATTTCGTATGAATCATCAAAACAGATGGTAGTAAAATAATTTGGGTAGGTTTTTAGGATATTTGCATCTAAATGACCTCATGCCAAAAACAGATGAAAATTTTGGTAAACTATATAAACTGCATAAAAAACATTTGTCTGAGTGATTTTAGTAAAAATCAATCAATAGACAAATTAATTATCTGATTTAAAGGAAGAAGTTGAATACAACAAATCATGACCAAAAAAAAAGTTTGGATGCATTACGATGAGAATGGTGAGTGGTTTGGCTTCGCAACTTGAAATATATTCAGGAAAGAATCAAGAGATTGAAAGGAACTTGGCTGAATGAGTTGTTAACAATTTCTGTGGAGCATTAGATGGGGAAAACATATGATATATATGGTCAACTACTTCACAACTTATGAACTCAATCGATTTCTTGAAACTAAAAATGTATTTTGCTGTTGAAGAGTTAAATCTAAACAAGAAAAATCCACCTAAGACTCTCATTGAGAATAAGAAATTCAAATGTGATACTGACTGGGCTACCAGCAACAATGAATTAATATGTGTAAAATGGTGACATAAATTCTACATCTCCTTGCTATCAACTGCATAGATTCCTTATCCCTTGAAAGAAAAGAAGAAAACTGGATCAAAAAATCCACATCCTCTTCGAAACCGTATGAAAGGTTATAATAAACACATGTGTAGACAGACTACTTCAACAAAACGAAAAGTTTATTCAAAATTGATAGGAAAAGTAGAAACAGCAGCAACGTGTATTTTTTCACTTCTTAGACGTAGTTATATCAAATGCTTTATACTTTTTATCATATGCTACCAGAGAGTGATGCAGATCTGAAATGAAGGCATTTAGAATAGAAATTATCCATGGTTTGGTATCTATGGGATCTAGTGAACCTATTATCAAGGGAAAATAATGTACTTCTTCACTACACAAACAAAAAAACATTACGTGCCAAATGAAAATTGCTTAAAAAATGTGATCATTTGCCGATAACATGCAAGTGCCTTTTGTAGCACAATAGAAAAACCACATGAAACTAGAATTATGTGTCAGACATGCAACACTGGATGCATGTGCCAAAAAGAAAGTTTTGAAAAAATACATTCTAAGTAATTTTTAATAATGAAATCCTTTTTATGGGTAATTTTTTTATTAGAACTTTACTATTAATTATATATCCTCCATTTTTATTATTATCATGATATAATTTTGCTATTGATTTTGAACTATGTTATTTTGAAATAATTTTTAATAAATTAATAAAATACCATATTATTTTATTTGGTGCATAATGCAAAAAAGACAGATATCACATTTATAAAAAACACTTTTTTTGAAAAATTTAATACATTTTTGTGAAAGAATATCTTTGATAGAGCTTTTTTTTTTTAATAAGAAATACAAGATTATATGCAATTTGGAATAACCTATGAAATGTATGCACAGTGATGGATTTCCTTACACTAACAATATTTCCTACATCCTAGATGCATGCTGTTCAATACTATGAAAATGAACCCCCCCCCTTTTAAAAGGAGGGGCCAGATATTTTTTTCAAACAGATATTACTCATTTATAGGACCAAAACATTAATTATTTTGCATTATTCAATACCAAAAAGTATCATGTGCTTCAAAGGGTTAAACATATTCTATTGCCAAATTCTTCTCATTTTATATCAGAAATATTAGATTTTCAAAATTGTTTGTATACGTCAAAAATACATCATTGTTCAAAACACATTATGGAATTTTTAAATTTCTCTAACACAAATTAAGAGCATGTACATAAATTTTCAAAATGTTTAAGCAGAACTTTTCCAATACAAATTACAAATATGGTAGTCTAAAAAGTGATCAGCACATTGCATATCTATTATGCATAAGAATTATGAAGATTACATGGAGAAGACTTCTTTATTTCATCATACATTTAAAATAACTACACATTAAATATTAAAACCAAATATTGGGACCAGTTGGGTATCAAAATAATTTTTATGCTATGATTGAGAAATATTTCTAGTTGATTTAAAAACAAGACCCTTCTTTTATTCATTAGTTTCTGTAATTAATACTCAAAAGCTGATGAACATTTATTACTTCTCTTTGTTTATTTAGCTTCTGTATACTACGTAATACATGCTGCTCTCAATAAATTTCACTTAATTGAAGTGAATTATAAATGATACATATACTTATATGCATTTAACTAAAACAGATCAATGAAACTATATCATTCTTTTTTTATAATATTTTTTTATAAAAAATAATATAAATGTGCAAAATAAACTTCAAATGCAGATGATATAAGAAATATTTTCAAACAATGCTACTCAGTTTTAGAATCTTTAAATGAGTTTTACTGTGAAAAGTTCAAGATATTTATCCTTTCCTTATCATTTTATGAATATACTTAATATCATACTTTATAATACATCTCAATGGGCAGGAAAGAATAATGCAACTTACCAGGATATGCTCTATATGCTCCAGGGGAGTTATCTAATATAAATATACTTGAGAGGTCTTGAGTAATGGCAGAAAGATCTTTGTTAAAACTTCCATATCGCACACAGCAATGCTACAGGAAAGAATACATTATATTTTGAATTGTCAAGATTCTTCTTATTATATATATAAAAACAAACTTGTCATTAAAAAAACTTATTTTTAAATATTTAAAGTTATAAATTTAGGGATATAATTTTTATATCTTGGTAATGACTAAAATGCTAAAAATTTGGATACTTGATTTTTATTGCTTGGCATCTCATTAAACTACTACAAATAAAAGTTGACTTGACAGACGAATAAATTATGTTAAGTTTCACAGGCTGATGGAGTGGATCCTTGCAGTAGCCTCAATAAGTTGAAACTAGTTCATGTTTATCCTACACATGAAGGAAAAACCACAAAAAATTTTACCGTTTCAGTCACTGGGAACTGGACCAAGAATAAAATTATCATCCGTTAATTGTGTTTAACCATAGAACCATTAATGATCTATACTACTCATTGATAAATTAAAAAAAAAAATTACTTATTTTATGTATCTATGTAAATAATCAGAAAATGTAATATTCTGTAAAAACATTACATATTTAAAATTCTTGTTTTGCTGCTTTAGTTTATAAAAAGAAGCAAAGCCTCTTTACAAAACACAACATAAATAGATTTAATTATAGAATAACTAAAAATAGCAATGATAAAATATATTAATAGTAATTAAATTTTCCCAGAATACATTTAAACTAAAAAGTGCTTCTAGAAACAATGTAAAAGTATCATAAATTTTACTAAGAACATTTTCTTTCTTTGGATTTCAAAAATACTTCTTTTTTACACAGGATTTTTACAGAAAATAAAAACATTTACAATTAAATAAAAATACCTGTCGGTAGTATCTTTTGGTAAGTATCCCACGATTATTGTCTAATTTATCAGCAACTGCTGCTCCATAAATTTCCATACTTGCAGTAAAAATAACTAAATCATACCATTTACTGACCTAATGTAAAAGAAATTTTTTTTTAAAAATTACATTAAAATTTAAGCATTGTGCACAGAGATAGTATTTTGATAACTTTCTACTTACATTTTAATTTTTAAAAAAGAGGTTATTTTGCTGAAAACTTGTTAAAAACTTATTTATTTTTGTCAAACTTAAGTTATAAATTGAGATAAATAAACAAATGATTTAAGATGCGTGAAGCTCATACCATATCTAGGAAAAAGTCCACATGTGGCCTCTTGTGAACAAAAAATCTAACAGGATGACGGTCAATTGTAACCTGAAATGAGACATTTTTTACATATATAAATCACACCTAGATAACCAACACAACAGCAAAATAGTTTACCTGATTCACATATCCTATATTGTTATAAAACTAAATTTTAGCATCTTGATGTAAATATTCGTAGAGTTAAAAAACCAAAAATAAACTATGAAGAATATAAATCAACTATACACTGATGTCTAAAATATATTTCACTGCTAAAACGTGGCAACAGATTCTAGATATATATCAACAGGAATCAGTTAACACACAAGAGAAATGTGGCAATGTAAATTTTTAAATTGGGTGAAACAGATGGCACTACATTTATTATTCACTTTGTTTCACATGTTGCTTCTGATATAAATACGGTTGTTTCTCCTATCAGTCTGAAAATTTTCCTGAAGAGGCTTGAGTGTCTGTCAGTTATATTAAAAAATTTTATTTGAAATTTACGCTAAACTAAAATGCTGTTTTAACTAAATTTTAAATAACACAAAAGTACCAATATATATATATATATATATATATAAACATTAGTAAAAGTATTAACTAATTATTCAAGTAAAAAAATTTAAGAGAAAAATCCTCTAAAAAATATTTTTCTCTTTATTTATTTATTTTTTATTTATTTTTTTTTTTTTTTTTTGTCTTGGCAAAACCCTTGCTTCAATTCTTCTATTTTAGTATCATTTCAGTATAAAATTAAATTAATTTTCGGTACTTTTACAAAGTATTAACTCTTTAAGCTAGCACGTCCACCCATAAGATCTTGTATATTTTGACTAATAGCATATTGCTATTTATTTTATTTTGTATATCGGGATTTCCATTCCATTATTTATTATCCTTATTACATCTTAATGTGTTTCTTCAAGCGGACGTGTCGGGAAATTGGAACAGAGAAATTGAGACTAAAAAATTTTTTTAGGACAATTCATTCTAATTAATTGAAAAATTTCGTAACACAATAAGTTTCAATTGTCTGTTTCGGTGAAATGCGTAATGGAGTTAGTTTAGGTTCGAAATTCATTAACCAGAAATTTCCTTTTAAAAGCCAGGTTGGACCTCGAATTGATCTAATTTACCGATTTTCCGCTTTATAATTTTGCCATGTAATTTGCTTCTATAATTTTTATGTTTTAACTCGAATAATTAGTTAATACTTTTACTAATGTTTTAAATATACCTTAATTATATTAACATATTGCTTACTATTAGTATTGATTTTTACTTGTAAATAATCAAATGTTGTATTTTTCTCTTATAACACATTTCATTGCCACTCATTTTGCTTACATTAAAGTTTCCACGGAACCACAGTATTTCAGCGGCTTTTTAACATTCGAACTAGGATTTTTCTTTTAATTTTTTTTAATTTTACAGCACAATGCACAAAGTTTTTTACCACATAGGTCTTTTATCGTTTGTTCTTTCTACTTTACTTTAAATTATATATATATATATATATACTGTGTAACTGTGTTCACCCCTTTCTTTATTACTTGTCTGAAAACTGAAAAGGGAAAATTATGCGAATAATTTTTCCTCAAGGATGTGGTTACAGTAAGAATATAACAAATGAAAAGCAGCCATGCATACATACAACAGGTAACTTTCACAATGTTATTTCTTTAAATGAAACCTACATTCCAGCAAGAATACACATTCATATTAATATTCTAATGCCTAAGATTCCTTCAGTTCTATTTCTCTCTTGAATCTCACTCTATCTTAATGTTACCTTTGCTATTTTAGGCCTCAAATTATCTATCCTTAAATAATTAGCATACATGTGTAGCTGACATAGCAAAATTAGAGATTAAATGTCAGTTCGTGTTTGCTTCCAATGTGATGAGAGGGTTCTTGTATTAGGCTGGCATGTAGTTCAACAGTTATAAAGGAAAGTTTCAGCTTATTGAGAAAGTGGGACATTATGCAAATATTAATATATTTTTAGAACTTGCCAGTAAAAAGCTACAGGGAAAAATATGCAAGAAAATATAAAACACATATATGTGTGTATAATGCAAAATAAATTAATGTGATTAAAATTCATCCTACATTCAACTTAGAACAAACCATATGTGAAAATAAAAAACCAGAAGCACAGCAGTTAATTGCAAAGGAGCAAAAATTGTTAAAACCAAGAGGAAAAAAGTAATTTACATCATTCGTTGCATCATCATCAAGGGGTTGGTGCAACAAAAGAAATAAAAGTCGGTCCGTTTCTGAACTAACAATAACTGTGCAGTGTGTTCGAGGTATTTCCGAAGCAACTATACTATCTTCTTTAGAATTTACTTTCATGACAAACTTATCAATTAGAGGAATGGATGATAATGCACTGCTTTTATTTTTACAACAATCTGATTGTTTATGTTGTCTTATTGCAAAAACATCCAAATATCCAGTTTAAAAAACAAATGACAAATAATACACTTTTCTTCTAATAGATTAAATAAATGCTGTTAATCATTCATTATCTTTTTGCTAACTTGCATTATATGGACATCATCATTTGGTCTTTTTTTTTTTTTTTTCCCCTGTTTGTTCTGTAACTTAGAGATGAATTCAAATGACATATGCATAAAGGTTTAACACATGAACGGGAGTGAACATTACATACAACCAGGCACAATTATATATTTTAAAAAGAGTGAAATAAATGTAAGCAAAGCATATTCTACAAACAGAATGAGTCAAAATGTTTTAAGCAGTACTGTCAATTGTTAGATACTTGAATATAAGATAAAGTCGATTTCTCCTTTTAACTTTTTAATTTGGTGCAATTTGGTGAATTCTATGATAGAGCAATTATTTTTATCGTAAAAGGATCATATAGTACAGCGGTCGCCAACCGGTGGTGCATGAAATGTTTTTGATGGTCCGCAGAAAAATTGGGACATTATTTTATATTTTTATGAAGATACAGTTTAAAAACACACGAGTAAAAAAAACTATTATGAAATATGGATCATACTTTTTTTTAAATTTTAGCTACTACTTTTAGCGAAATTCCTTCAATGAATTTAGCTACTTTTGCAGGTGTGTCTAGCGACATTTAAAAGTGAGAGTTGGCATCCATTAATACGCTGCTGTTATCAATAATAGTGCAAACTGGAATTCTCTTTCCTATTGAATTACAAACATATGCTACTGTAGTTGTTAATAATAACAGTTTTTCTCCATGTCAATTGCCAAGTTGATGGATTTTTATGAGAACCATCTGCATTCTTTTTTTAATTGCATCACTGGAAGTTTCAGTTTTTGTTTTGTCTAACTGTTGATCCATGGCACCATTGCTGACTAAGAGATGATTACTATGTTTACAATAATTAAAAATTGGCTGCATTAACCTTTCAGTTTATTGATATTGCTTTGTGCTTACCGGGTTTATTCTTGCTTTTTATGAAGTTCCTTTTCAGTGATATGGAAATGTGAAATTTTTTGTATAAGAAGGTAAGATTTTTGTACTTTTAATATAAATTTTCAATGTGAACAAAATATGTGTATCAGCGAGATGTTAATAGTGCTTTAATTGTTACTCATAATCAGGGGCGTAGCCTGAATTTTCATAAAGGCATTCTGCTGAACACCAAATGTTTCGAAAATTATATTAACAAATGAAAATTGGAATTACATGTATTGGAAAGTTGAATATTGTTTTTGCATATTAATATGTTGTTTTTAAGTTCTGATTTAAGGGTTTTTTTTTTTTTTTAATTTCATATAAGTGGTCTGCCAAATATAAAATTATATATGTAGTGGTCCATGAAGTTCTAAGGGTTGACAACCGCTGTTATAGTACATACATACATATTTTACCTTTCAACTATACACTGATGAGTTAACCTTTTAACTGTCATGCCCGAGATACAGCACTGGTGTTCGAAAATGTCACGCCCGAGTATTTCTAGGGGTAATTTTTTTTTTTTTTTTTTTTTTTTTTTTTTTTTTTTGAGTGCATCGTATTGTCATACCCGAATATATATCGGGAGATGTTTATTTCGGCTACATTTGGTTTTCCCAATAAAAAAATTTGACAATTTGTGTACCCAAATCATCAAAATAACTTGACAGTTAAAGGGTTAAAACATTGTGACCATCCCCCCACATTTTTCAATGAACTCGTTTGGATGATGTGGAGGGCATGTGATTATGTGGAAAGCATATTCAACTGCTGCTGGAAAATGTAAGGTACTAATTTTGCTCTTACATTTGTGAGTGATGGGAAAGGCTGCTGATCTAAGCGAATTTGATAGAGGGCAGATTGTAATGACCTGAAGACTTGGACCAAGTATCTCCGAAACTGCATGATTGGCAAGTTGTTCATGATCTGTTGTTGTTAGTATTTATGCAAAGTGGATAAATGATGGTGAAATCACAATAGACACTAAGTTGTTGGACATTTATGCATCATCAAAGAAAAAGAATATTGACTGGATACTGTCCCGCTTGGTACAGCAAAATCAGGGCCAGACAGTGGCTACACTGACAGTCCAATATAATGGAGCTTCAAGAACAAGTGTTTCAGAACATACAGTTCAGTGGATATTATTGGAAACAGGACTGTGCAGCAGATGTCCCACTCATGTGCCTCTGTTCACCAAGCGCCATCGTCAACTAGGCCTACAATAGGCCTAGAACCATAAAGACCTAGCCATGGATAAGTGGAAGAGATATCACAAGAAGGCTCAAAATATGTTGGAGTGGTTCAAGGAACATAAGAATGAATTCCAATTAATGCCCTCTCATTTAACTCACAGGATCTTAACCCAATTGAGTGCATTTAGGATGCCATGGAGAAGTAGCACAGAGCTCTAATACCACAACGCTGAAATAACTTGATTTTGTATGACTGCTGTTTAGACATTTGGTAGAACCTGTCGCCAATCATCTACCAAGAACTTGTGGCATCAATACCAAGGTGATGTTTTGTAGGCTAAAGGTTGCAGAATGCCTTATTGAGTAGGTGGTCATAATATTTTGTCTCTTCAGGGTTTAGTTAT